GCTAATAGCAGTGCATGTCGCGCTATTGGCATGTCGCATCAGGACGCCAGTTATGCCCGCCCCTCCAGTCCCCCAGACCGGTCGAGAGAACATGGGGGTGGGGCAGGGGGGGGATGTAATGTTTGGAAGCGTAGGCGCCCGCGTTTGGCCCCCCCACCCCCTCTCTCCTCTGCCCCGCGCCCGTCGCAAACGTATATGAATCCGACTTGCTCCCGTTTCTCACGCCCTGCTGGATCCCCTACCCCTCCCCCTTCCCACCCCTTCATCTCGCGATCCACGCGCCGCTCTCCTCGGCGCTGTCTCTCTCCATCCCCGAAAAAATTCCTTCCTTCCCCTCATAGCAGGCTAGAGGCTAAGCTGCGCAAAAAGGACGTGGCGTGGCGGGATGCGGGACGGGCGAGGCAGGGCATAGCGTGGCGTTGCGTGGCGTGGCGTGGCGACCCCCCGAGTGCCAGTGGCTTTTATCCTCATACTCACACATAGTGCCACGCGACGAGGCCCGCGAGGCCCTGCTGTGTCGGTGGCGGTGGAGCAGTGCGGCCGGCCGGATGCACACCGCTTTCTCCCCCCCCCCTTTCTCCCATTCATCTTGTCTTGCTCTGGTCTCCATCTACCTCAGCGGTAGACTCTCTCTTTCTCACCCTCCCTCTCCCCCCGCTCCTTCTGAATCTCCCCTCCCGCCCTCTCTCTCTCGCTCAATGAGCGCACGATAGTTGACAAACTTTCCCTCGCACAACAACTTGAAGACGCTCCCTACCCCCCCCCTCCTAACCACCATTGTCCTCTTCTTGTGCGCGGCGGCGGGGAGGTGCGAGCGCGGAGAGTGGTGGGGCGCCGCCGGGCGCCGGCCCCTCGCTGGAGTCAATGAGGGGGAAGAAAGTGAGGCACCTAATATTGTATATCGGGGCCGAGTTCTGAAAGAGGCGTCTCTGCTCTGCCCTATTCCTCTGACCAGTGAAGCGGTGCGCATACACCGAGAAAAATAACCGTAACGGGAAATTTTGTGAGCGCAGTCGTAAGTTTACAACATTCGATTTAAATCGAATTTACAATTACCGGGTGTCCGTTTGAACGTGCTCCAGTGTTGGGGGTTTGCCGGGACTTTCCTAAAATTTGAAGAAAAGTAGTAAAAGTTCACAAGGAAATTTCCCTTGACGCAAAATAACAATTTGTAATCGTTCAAATACGTGCACTACTTAATTATCTACTTAAAAATGCATCAGCGAGTAAAAAATGTACAACTTAAATCATCTTAAATTAACATTCGAGTTTTCACAAATGTAAGTTTACGACGATATTTTTCACAGTGCCGTCCACGCAAGGCGCCATGGCCCCTAAAGCCCTAGCCAGTATGCAATCCCGTAACACTGGATTACACATTCAAAGATTCACCTGGTACTTGGCAGTGCGAGCGACACCATTCTGTGGCAGCAGGTGTCCTCCCTTTTCCTCTCCATTTCTCTACCTACCCTCTCGACAAAGCCTATGCCTCTATCTTTCTCTCTTCAATCTTCTGCAAACTTGTACGTATGCAGGTGCACAACTTTTAATTAAACGTTTTTCCGTTCCAGTCTCCGTAATATTATCGTCTGAGTTACTTTCTTTTTGTTTGCAATTTTCTGAAATGAACTACGATATAGTTTAGTATCTTTGATCGTCAATACTACCTTTGATCGTCAATATTGGTATCCAAATTCTCACCACACCACACCCACTCTCAGTGACATGGGGGCTAGGGGCGTAGCGCGTGTGAGAGCGAGAGAGAAAGAGAGAGATATTGAGAGAGAGAGAGAGGGTGGGGGGGCAGTCCTTACCTCGGTCACGACCGTAGTAGCGTACTGTGAGTAGTCGAAGGCGTAGCCGTGCGCGCACGGCACCGTCGCCCCCTCGTCGTCGGCCGGCTCCACCATGACGACGGACTGGTTGGCGTCGTCGACGACGAGGTCCCTCCAGGTCGCGGCGGCGGGCACCAGGGCGGCCAGGGCCGCCTCCAGGGCGAGCACGTCGGCGGCCTGGCCCAGCGCCTGCTCCACGGCGGCCGCCACCCGGGTGTAGTTGCGGCGGTACATGCGGCACTGCGAGAAGCCGCCGCCCTGGTCCTGGGCCGGGATGCTGCAGAGAGGCAGAGCGGGGGGGCACACAGTCAGTGTCACACAATCGGAGGCTGGTCCGCGTCGGAACAAAACGGTCCTGCTCGTCGTCTTTTGTCGTCGGGAGCGCCGCGCCTTTTTTTGTGT